CGACGGATAATGAAAGTGTTCATCCAGAATAATAAGCAAAAAAAGCGAGAAGGGCGCGAGAATCGACTTTTCAAGAAAAACATAGGTTTAAAAAAGTAGTGAGGTCGAGGGTCAGACGAGTTCCAGGCAGAAAAAATGGTGTGAAATAGGTGATCGAGCGAGCTCCCGCAATGTGTGTAAGTGCTTCCTATTGATTATGCATGCAAAAAAGTGAATTAATGTGGGACAGCCTGCTTTAATACATGTCTAAAAGTGTTTTTGGTTCTAAAACAAGAACAATTCAAACATATCGTACCGAAGCAATTGCTGTAAAAAAATAATTAGAGCAGAAACATTCAATTCACTAGCATAACTTGACAAAAAACGATTGACAGCAAAAGCGATTCGCCTTTCACAAATCGGAAGAATGACAGCAGCAGCAAAAAAGAAAAGAAAGAATACTAGGAAAGGAGCAAAACATCGCCTTATCACTCGAGAGTCTGTGTGCTGAACGTGTGCGTCCTGGCGCGAATATCACAATTTGTACCGCCTCTACAGCTCGCCTGACATGACATGGGTTAATGCGCCTGGCATCTAGTCGATCCGGTAATGGGGCTCCTATTATACGCTAGCTCTCGAGCCTCCTTCAGGGGCCACTTGGTAATCCTAAGGGAAATCTAATCGGCCGCTCTTATCGGGAACAGTGCCTTTAATGTACGCGCGGGTAGACGAAATATTACGGAGCTGGTGCAAGGGTTTCTTCGACAACACAGTTTCAAACAGTGCTCTAAAACGCGTGATTATGCAGGACGAAAGGAACATGACGGTATCGCTACTCCGTCAAAGTTGAGAGCATGTCAAAGTTGACTGCGACTTTGCGTGAAAAAGCGTTTCCGATGGTATAATCGCTCTAGTTCTCCGAAATGTCGTTTGAAGCAAACGAAAGATCAGGAATGTCGAGTTACCTCACACGAACTCTGAGATCATCTCTATTGATGATGTGCGATAAGAGTACGCGGTGAGGCAGGATTTGAGGAATCCGAATGGCGCAGTTGGAACATATGACGGTAAACAACTTGGTGACGCGAGTCAGAGTGAGAGATTCTTTCTATATGGGCAATAGCCGACGGTAACATACATACATATAGTCATAGCTGCAGGTAGCTGCTGACGACAAAAGCAAGAAAACGATCATACGTAGGTCGCCTTATTATATTTCGGGAATAGAGAACTGCAATAAATATTAATCATCGCTTCATTAATTTCAAAGTATTCCCATTAGGATCTGCACACTTTTGCATGCGTTTGAACTAATTGTCGAAGTTCTTGCTACTCTGATTCAGGTATCTCTAAAACGTGCATTCTGAACGCATCAACCGCTTCTTCAGGGGTCTAAAAACGTTGACCTCCCATTTTATTTTTTACGCACGGGAATAAAAGGTTCTTCGGTGTCATAGACGTGTTTCAAAGCTCCGCGGTCGTATTTTTCGAGCATCTTTACGACCAATCGGCACGAGCCTTCTTTTCGAGCGATTGACGGATTGTAGGGGATCCAACGCGAACAAATTTTTTTGACAGTTAAATGTTCATGCAGTATTGAATGTGTGCTGGTCCACTAATGCCTAAGGTTGTCTCAATCTCACACAAGGTCACAAGATCTTGCAACATTGATAGCATGACCTCGGTTGAACTCACCACACATCGATAAACACTGGCCCTTGATGGAGCTTCATCGCCAAAAAGTTTGTTTGTAAAAAATAATCGCATGAAAATGTTCTCGATTTAATTTCAATTTTTCGGCCTAAATAAATCCTTTGGATTAGTGGAAACAACACAAATAGTGCTCATATATCTAAACGTACTGAGCACTATAGCCTCAAAAATGTCAAAGTTACGGTAAAGCTGTCAGTTGTCGGATTGCTACACTGCCCAGTCCCGAAATATAAAAGGCACCCCTCGTAATGTGGTGGAATGTATTACTTGTTTAGACGGAGTTGAAGTCATACGAGTAAGTGTGAACATAAGATGATGCAATCGTCGACCCGATAAACGGAAAGGCAGTGGAGTCCATACGGCCGTCGCAAGCTTTGCAGTCCCGATTCAAGACTTGCTGTAACTGTTGGCGCAGGAGCGCAGATGTTATAAAAGGAGTTATGCGCTGGTGGCCTCGAACGCGTGACTCACTGATTACCGACGAGGAAAACTCGAAAATGTTAACGAATGGTGATGATATCGTTGTGTCAATCGATGGATTGTTCACCACTTGGTAGCACTTCTGGAAACGCGGTCTCAATATTGTAGAAATGGTTAGTAAGTGCTGCAATCCCTTACAGTGAAGTAGGCGTCTATCGGGTAACAGACAACATTTTAAAATTGCGAAAGCTGTTCCCATTTGACGGATAGGAGCAGTCTGGCGTGCAATGGCGTTGAGATAGTTTTGGGACAAGATATTCTAAAAATTACCCAAATTAAGGGATTAGAGTACGTGATCGGGATCAGAGGGTTGCTACGTGCGACGTACTTATGACGTGGTGCTGGGTGATTTCTAGAAATATCTGGAGCTTTATTAAATTGCATGAGTTGCTTCTGATTCAGGTTAAGTTGTTGAGAAGGCAGTATGACCGAAAATTTATCCTAATAATGTTATTAATAAAAACCTCAAGAGCTATGGTTTTAACGATGTTGGATTGCATGACCTGTCCTCTTTCCCTAGATGAATAACGGACGTGAGTTTGTACTATAGTACTTTTGTTCCTGATAACCAGCTCATCTTCGAATTAGGAACGATTGCTTCTGTCATTTGTACCACCTGCCGTCCCATTGACCATCAGTTTCCATTGGATCTTCTTCGCTCAAGGGACACAAGGTATAGCATTCCTTTCATGCATAGCAATCGTTGAGACGACTGTCATCGCGCTAGCGACCGTACTGGTGTTTGTTTGACGTCCCGAGGGGTCAAGCCGCTAATCATCCTGGTCCAACGGTCATCACGACGTAACGTGTGCTGCCCACTTGATCTTCGAATCTTGGCTTGAGCAACGTCATCTCTGATATTCGTTCGTTGACGAAGCTCAAAACAGTGGGTTTCCTTCTGCACCTGCTTGTATACAGTTATTCCGAGCATCACCATTTCTAAGTAGCTAAAATGACGCTTACAGCATGTTCCTCCTGGTTCCACAAAGTCGAAGTCTGCGAGGCGTATTTTAAAGCAGGAAGGACGGCAGTGTCGAAAGGATGAGCGCAGAGTTGGATGTTCTTTGTCTTCTTCACTACTCCCTCGATATTCCTGAATACTCCCTCGATATTCCTGAATGCTCTCAACGCGGCGCCTTTCCTTCTACCCATCTCCGGAGCTAGGCCGTTCATCATGTTGACTTCTCGACCGAGATACACTTAGCTAAAACATCCAGAGATATTCGTTCCGTTAAGTATGAAGGATGCATCAGATACTGAACCGTTCGTAATGAACAGCGTCTTCGTTAACTTCAGTGTTGAGCGGATTTTCAACAGGAGCTGTTGAGTTCAGCCAGCACTCATTCTACCCTCTGATGTTTAATGTTATAAGCACAATGCCGTTTGCGAAGCGGAGATGATGTAAGTAGCAGCAGCACTATTCACTCGGCAGGTATCATGTGAAAAGCCGAGCAAAATTTCTGGCGGTAACTAATGGAAAGCTTTTCGATGTTCTGGTTTGATCCTATCGAGACAGGGCCCGTAGAATTCTTCATCGTCGTGATGGCAATTTCGGAAGAGAGAACTGAAGGAACAATGTATTCGTCTTATGAAAATGGTAGATTGGCAGGGATTACTTGCTTATCACTCGAATATGTACACCTGGACAGATCTTACTGCCGATCTTATATTCACTTCAGAATACAGGTCGGTAGAATGAGCTCGAAAGTCACAACATACCGATTGATGATGCTGATTTCAATGTGAAGAACCGGACTGTACCCCACTGTTGGATTAATCGCATCCCCGGCTGCATTAAACTAATAAACTAGAAAACAATCTTTAGCAAATCGATCTTTCCTGTCATTTAAGCTTAATCTGTCACGAATGCCACTGGTGACAGAGGTCGATATCATTGTTTCTGTTTGGCTGCTTTCATAGTCCGCCGGACTGCCGGCGTGTCGGCGTGCCAGCCGAGGTAGTGCTAGGAGGGGGAAGGGAGTCAGACGGGACCTTACGACGCGGTCGCATCGCGCATAACCCCCTTCAAAGGGCTGCAAACAAAAAAAACAAGATCGAAACTATTTGCCTTTGCCCTTCAAAGGGGCTTGGGCTCGCGCGACCGCGTCGAAAGTTCCCGTCTGCTTCCCCCTCACCCCCCCCCCCCCCCCCCCCCCCCCTCCTCCTATCACTACCTCAGCTGGCACGCCGGCGCGCCGGCGTGCCAAAGCGGCCTCTTATTTCACATGTTTCTCATGAATGTGATAAAGTAAAAAAAGCTAAGCTGGAAAGATTTCAAACAGCGCGCATCATGAGAATGTATTGAACCCGAAAATATTTGTCAGTCATGAACTGTTTCGGACAGACTGTTATACGTATAGACATTTTCATTCTGAACATTCAAACTGCTCTAATTATAGTAATACACATCAATTCCTCATTCGGAAAAAGTCGAAACTGATATCAACCTGTACAAGGACCGTGTTACAGTTAAAAGCGAACTTCTAAAATTCTGTATATTCATTAGGCCAAAATCCTAACGGATTTATTAATAGTCAATTCTCTTCTCATCTTAGAAAGACCGGAACTTTCAGAATCATGCATTGCTCCCATTCCTACGTTCTGTCCGCCACCAAGGGAAGTTGGGAAGAATCACAGGCACAAAATAGGAATTTCTTACTTGTAAAGGCACACCCACTTATTTTTATTACCATTGAGCTTCAGGATTGGAAAATTAGCAAGCAACCCGGTTAGTTTTTGTGAAAACCCGCTATGATGAAATTTCCGAAAACAAAAATCACAGATGGTGAATAGAGCAAAATTAAAGTGACGCAGTGACGATTTCGGGGCTATCTTAGGCCGAGAAAACGCTTTCGAGCCCGCTCAACTTTCTCGACTGAACAGCGTCCACTTCTAGTCAGGAACCATAGACCACTTATAGCCTGGAATTTAGAGTTCGAAACGGATAACCGCACGTTGCTGCCCTAATCACTCACCTGGCGAGCTTCTTTGTTCTTCAGACCTACATAGAAGTTGTTATTGACAATGTACGGCTGCATGAGGCCTTTGTCCTCGTCGCTGAGATAGTACCTTGAAATTCAAAGTTTAATTCTGATGAGTCTCAAAACTTTTTCTGAGCTCATTTCACGACCTATAAAAGACTCACCACTTCCCATCAGCTATTTCGCTGTACTCGAAATTTCGACAAACTACACCGTGATGTTGTATAGAGCATAACTCGTTGAGAACGTCCTGAAGTTAGTCACCCATAAGCCATCGAGAGAACTACGACTTTGAACGCACTCCAAAGTAGATGTCATCAGGATCAAATAGGATTGTATGACTTGTATAACGTGGTCTAACCTTGACATGTTTGTAGCGGGCAGCAAACCCTCATCGCTCACCTGTGGTGGGAAAGCACTGCCACTACGCCACGGTAACCCTTCTGGTCAATGCGGGCAATTGGGATTATCAACTGACACTACCTATCCATGCTTTGAGCATGCATACTTGGAACGCTCACAACTTTTTTGGTAGACTCATTTTGCAATTTCAATTTCCATATTTGTTAATAACTTTCCAAGCCCTATCGATATTCTAGGCCTCTATTCAAATTTCTATGGGAATTTGAAATGGTAAGTCATCAGAACTTTGCTTCATTTGAAGTATCTAACAAGAAGGGATTCCAATTTCGCCAGGGTTCATAGACTAAGGAGTATTTCAAGACACAGAAAGCTCCAACATGTCGGGGCCGATCCACAGAAGATATTCGGGAGCGTTTGAGAAAATTCACCTGATCGTACAGTGATGTGTTATCTGAAATCCGCCGATTGATCTCTTTGAATAAAACCACCGACGTGTTTGTCGGTTCGACCAGCATGGGACTGAAGGCCAACGAGTCTCCCTAGAATGATCTCTGAAGTCACTCGAATCGCTTCACAACAACAAAAATTCAAGTTATCGAGGTTCAATTTAATTCAATTCGATTTTATCAAAACTTTTCCAATATGAAGAAGTGTTAACCTAGAAGAACTGAAGTTGAAGATGTTGGGAGCCTTTGCTATGACAACATAGCAGCTCGTGTTTCCAGCGAACATAGTTCTCAATTGAGCATAAGCTATAGAAACGGGGGAGTATTTTGGAGATTGGTGTCAAGACCTTAAGGTCGTTTCTGGGTCGGTAACCATTGCAAGTCTATGATACGATGTTCTTCCGAAAATATATGAACATTGAAAAGTACATGCAAGGAGAAAGAGGACGGCAAAGGCAGAAAAGGCAAACGAAAGGATCAAGAAAAAGTCAACCGATCAAATAAATGCAGGAAGGAATAGAAACAAGTTCGAAAATGGTACCAAAACTTGCTCCCATAAGTAAGAATCTCTCTATTCTCGTAAGTAATGATTCTGATGGGAACAGGCTATACAGATATTTAGTATACACTTAAACACACGCAAAATGGTCTACATGCAAGTCAGGTGAGTGCACTGTTTCGTCAAACTGAGAGAAATGGAACACTGCGCTAAAAGTCAGCGAGAATTTCAGCTACTCCACTTTGTTCATTTTTATCAAGCTCTGCCAGCTTTCATGATTGGGGAAGACGGGACAATATCGGCGCTATACTATATTGTCTGTACACATTTTTCTCTGTCTCTCAATTTCTCACGCCTCCACATTCCAGATCCCAAATGTCATGCGGCAGTTCACTTCTGTTGCAACACGATGTTGCCTTGTGGACACAACCGAGAACGTGATGACAAAAAGTTGACGTCCAGTCGTTTGACGCAACTTCAAAACCACGTTTCACTCCCAGTTCCACTGATTGAACGATATCTTCGTCTAGTAGCCTTTTGTCAATGTCACGTGGTCAATCTGGGAGATTGCGAAGCGCAACATCGTAGGTAACTGTGGCAATGTCCGAGGTGCAGGACTCAGAGTGCTTTATGAAGCAGAACCAAGCTCTTTTTTTGTTACAAACAGACAAATTCATACTTATGCAAGCATGGTTCCTAGAGAACTTTGTCCGCGGAACCAGAACTGCGCTGAACTAACAGGAGACAACACTGGGCAATAACGACTACGTAAAAGCGAGTTTTTTATTTTGAGCAGAGGGGCTACACATCAAATTCATAACAGTGACTTACAGCATGAGTAGTCCCCTTGATTGGAGTCACAATATCAGCATCGTCAATCATTGTCGCATTGAGAAACAGCTCCATCGGATCTCGGAACCATGTCGAGTCGGTCTCAATCAATACGAATCGCACCGAACTCTGAATAAAGTGAAAAACATTCTCGAATACTTAGAAGTAGTACGGTGGTCGTCAAACAAGGATCGAATGCTCGAAATTCATTTGTTGTGGAATACGTCTCAGGCGTCAGGCTGCTATAGCCAACACATCGCTCCAGTTTCAAAACCGACAATTCGCTGAGGTTGATTTTATGTATTATAGATGTCGGTGTCTGCGTACCGGTCTGAATTTTCTCCTGAAAGGGGCAAACGACAGAACAGTTGATGTGATAAGGTTCCGCTTGCAGCGGTGGAGTTAATGCTAATTGTAAGGAGTAAAAAGGACAGACGAATGGGTGATATTGTTGGACTTTTTGAGCTATCAACACGCAATACCTTATTTAGAGAACCGTATCTTATTCGTTGGGGCGGAGGTGGTGTAGTGGCAAGTGGCGCACCATATCACACGCACGGTCGGGGGTTCGAATCCTGGATCGATGCTCGCCTAGGCCAAGCAAGCCTTCCATCCCTCCGGGGTCGGTGAATTGGTACCAGACTCGTCTGGGAGGATAAAAGCATTGACTTGTACATCGGCTGGCCATCGCAAGTCACTGTATAGGCCACATACGCACTCATTACGCCACTACGATTCGGAATGGAAGTCGAGTGCGGGGGCGCATCCCTCTGACGGGATTGATTAACGCCAAAAACTTTATCCTTTTATCTTATTCTTTACTGTGGGAACCTCTGCGAAATTACAGTAACTGGTTCTCATTCGGGGATTCTGAGACATTTCTTCCCGCTTATCTTCTTACATCATTCGTCTGTATCCCCTTTGATGGCAAGCTGGTATTTTACTTTTACACCAGTACTTTACAGCTAGTAGATCACTTGAAAGACAGTAGTGGCACTCACTTCTACTAGAGCTTTCATCAACTGAAGTCTGACAACCAGAAAATCGATGTACTTCTGTTCTCCCCAGTCCAAGTCCTCTTCGTAACCAGGAAGATCTGCGAATATGCAGTGCACCTTCTGAAACGGCTGATGTAATCAAACTATGTAAAAGTTTACATTAGGAATCCGTAAATAATCTGCCTTCTCAATGACACCGAATTTAGGTTTCTGGAAACATGTGGATATGGAAAAATACAATTGGGTAGGTATCAACACGACTGTTATTTTCAGGAAGTGGGCGGTCTTGAGGTAAGAAACTGACCTGCCCATATTCGCGGTGTACCTTATCACATAGAGCCTTCGAAGTGGAAACGATTAACATCAGCTCTTGTGATCCCTGAAAAGTCTTTCCATTGGAAATATGTCTCAGTCGGATCTCGACAACATACTGCTACATTTTCACATTTTTGCTGCAAGTGAGCTCTATACTTTTTCAGGATATTTCTGTACAACAAAGTCATGTGCACTTCTAAGGCTTTCTGCAGTGTTGGACAGAAAGCTTGGTCTTCTTCCCTTTTCAGCAAGTCGAAGAACCGTTATGCTGCTGAATGCAGACAACTGCACTGTTTTCAGTAAGGGTTGGAAGCAGCTTACAGTTTGGAATTCATCCGTTGTCCCTCCAACTATTCCTCGACAAGGTTGCCCCCTAGAAATCTTTTTTTCAGAAAATATTCGGTAGACCTCTAACCTCTCAGGCATGAAAAGCAGGTCGTGCTCATTCGGGCACGTATCGTCGTTCTCAGAAACAATGCTCTCAAAAGAACGGACTAGACAATTGTACGGATGCTAAAAGGGAAGTCGGAAGCAATATCTGATATCAGGTAAGGTGCGGGATTAGTACAAGGTTGTCATAACTGTGAGTTCTGCTTTCTAGAATGGATTATAGTCGTCATCGCTGTCAGCCTGTCGGTCCCTTGGGTGGAGGTCTCGAAACTTTAGCACTCAGGCTTTACATTCCAAACTATTCTGGTAATCGACCTAAGAGGGAAAGGGCTATAAGCGTACGTGCACTGCCCTCACATAGGACCGGAATGGAACTAGCAGCGATTTAGGCCCGCTAACAGACCCAACCGCGAAGGTGGGTCTTTCAATAAGATATCAATAAATCAATGTCAGAATTCAAACAATTTACACAGCAAGATTTGGAAGGTGGCAAAAGTAATCGATTGTTAATGAAGTGAGTAGTGTTCGTAAATTGTCCAGGACATACAAAATTTGAGTGGAACAAGTTATGCAGGAGCGGCAGAACGCCATAATGTCATATCAACAGAGCTTTCTCAGAAAAGGGCTAACCCAGTTAGATTGCTGCTTGCATTGTCGAGTGGAGGGTTGTTATAGGGAGATATCAGGCTATCAGTGTGAGTAAAAATTTTGAGGAAACTGTTTATTCCGTTGGCTAGCGCTTCTAAACAAAGGCGCGCTCATACTTCAGGTATTATCCTCCGTAGAACAACAGTCAGCGAAAACCACCACGGCAATTTCATAGATATCTCTGTGGAAGATAAAATTTTTGAGGAACCAAATCAGGAGCTTGTAGTACCAACATGAAACTCAGGAATGATCGATCTTTGAACCCTATCAAGTTTGCTTGTGAGACTGGTAGTCCAAGCTACGGACAGGGAATCGTTCGCGCATCACTAGTGAATCAACACTTTCCGGGTCGAAGCATCAGAAAAGTTTCATGATGTCGAAAACTAACCTTGAATGCAGCCACATTACATAACCAGTTTAGCGTCATCTTTTCGAAGGCTCCATTGACAATAGTAAAGTAGATTAGTTTCTTTGATTGCGACATCAGTTTCGCCTCTTCAGTGAATTTCTGGAAAGAAAAATAGAGATAAGTACCTAGAATCACATTTACGAACGGGGTTACTGAAGTTTTTTGAGGTGATGGTTCTCATTCAGCCACTGCACATCAAATTTTACTTGTAACCCGAAATCCCAGGAAACATTTGTAGC